GAGATGTTCTCTGATTTTTCCAAGGTTAGAGAGCATCTCTATGTTTGTAAACCTAATTTCCAAGCTTGAGTGACTATTTTAGATTAATAAAATTATATCAATTAAAATATCACTTGAAAAATTATGAGATAAATTTTGGTAGGTTTCCTGTGGTCAGAGAAGCTTGGGAAAAATATCATGATGGTTTGAATAATTTTGTGTATTTATATAGCTAATTAAATGTTTATAATTTGTATTAATTTATTTAAATTAAATATTAATAAAAACATATCTAAATCAATTCCACATTGTGTAGAAAAATCATGTTGACTTAATGTAAAAAAATTAAAAATTATTTGATTTAGTTTGAGCACTAAAGTTGATTTTATAAGAAAAATTATATTTTTGTACAAAAATAATTATATTAAATTAAATACATTTAGGAAAATTATAAAAAATGGTTCTATGAGTTCCTTGTGATTAGGGGCATTTAGGAAAATAAAAATTATTTTAGAAAAAATACTTCATTTTTTAACTATATTTTAAATTAAAACAATTAAAAATAATTAAAAATTTTCAAAAATACAAAAATATTTTAAAAGGTGTCTAATGGTATCCTGATCACTTGGGACTCATTAAAATATTTTGACCAATTTTTTCTAAGTTTAAATAAAATTTTAAAGGCCAAAATTTTTTTTTTTATTATTTTTCATTAAAATAATTATAATAAATAAATTAAAAATCATAAAAATATAAGATTTGTTTCTCTAAACTCCCTGGACTCAGAGAGGGTTAATAAAAATATAAAAATAATTTTGTAATTAAAAAGTATTTTTCATTTAATTGAATTGCTAAAAAATCAATAAATAATTATAAAATTAAATTAAAATTTAATTTCAAAAAATCATGTTGTGCAATTTAAGCCCTAACTTATTTTGGGATTCCGATGTTGCTATTCGTCATGATCTAAATCCTCATATTTTTCAGGCTACTTGTGTGACCGTCTCGCATAAGTGTAAGCCCTAAATTAATAAAATTAACATGATGAAACACATAATTCTTCTCTCTGAAATTGAAGTCGAACCATAAGATAATTTGGGAAGCTACCGAGGTTCTCCTCAGGATCTGTGACATCCCAATTTTTTTTTCCTTTGGATTCCATAAAAATTGTTCTAAATTTAAGTCATTCCTTTTTCACACATTTTTGTCCGATTTTTTGAAAATTCATATCCCCTTGAATTTTTTGAAGACATTATTTCCTGATTTTTATTGAGGGTTTTTTTTAGGTGATTTTGAATATTTTAAGATATAATTAACTATAAGGGCTTGCCCTCATAGGAAACTTTTATAAACCCAACTTAGTATAAACCCTATTTAATTTTTTGTATTAAATATGCAACTTGTCGATCAACATAAAAAATGATTTTTTGCAGACTTGAACGGACGTCATAAATTCTTTAGTTTATTTAATCGAGTCTCACCAGTAAGTAGTGTCTACCCTTCGAGATAGATGCATTGCTTACGGTATTATGCTCGTTTGTTTAAATTACTGAGGATATAAGTTTGGTTCGGTCTAACACATATCACATTGTTAACCACAGACATACCAACTCTTAAAGTTTAAATGATATGGTTGGTGATCTTGGATGGGACAATCATTTGTTAAATTGATCTCACTAAATTCTAATTCAATATGTTGTCTTTTTTAAATTTTATTTAATTTTTAGTTGTAAGCTAAATTATATAATTTCCTACATATTATTTATCTTCATGACACATTAGACGGGGAAACAAAATGAATGTGATAGATCAGCCATTTAGGAGAGGGAGGTAAAGATTATATTTTATGATTTATGCTTGAAAATGAACAAAATTGACAATAGACCAACAACACACTTCAATAAAGGAGGTTGGTTAAACATAACAAAAACTTTCATGAATAAACAAGAAGATTATACGATAAAACTCAGTTGAAGAACAAATGGGATCAAATGAAAAAAGATTGGAAATTATGGAAAGGTTTAAAAAGAGGAGCAACTGGATCAGGTTGGGACCTTGTCAAGAAAATAATGAATACATCAGAGTGGCAGAGAGAAAAAATTTAAGTATAAAATGTTATATGAATTCTTTTTTATTTCATATTAATTGAACTATGTTTTTATCAATTTGAAGTCCTACTCAATTAAAAAAAATTTAGGACCTAACATAGACCCTAAGCTAGAGGAGAAATTTGATTCTATGTTTCTTGGTGTAGTAGCTACAAGCTCCAATGTTGGGCAACAACACGAAACTTCACTATAAGAGAGAGAATAATATGAATCAAGTCATTCCAAGCGCTCTTCACCATCCAACCAAAACCGTTAAAAGAAAATGAAAGTCAACATTCAATATTCATCTGAGCAGATTTCATAGCTTGTTATGAACTACACTAGCATGCCATCTAGGGCCCAGCGACTATTTAGAGATATTCAACTATAATAAAAGTCATGAAGCTACTGAACTCCACTTTTGAGATGTTTGATGATATGTCTCAATAATTATTCTATATAAAAATTTTAGAGGATCGAACAAGAAAGTGATGGAGCGAAAGACTTCTTACCTCTAAAATTTTTTAAACAATCAGTCTAACTAGTTTGTCTTCTATTTATGTTTTTAATTGGTGATAATTTAAAATTTTATGTCAAGTAATACCATTTGTTGTGTTCATTTGATATTTTAACTTGTATGTTCTGCACTAGTAATATTTCAATCATGCAGTTGTTCACTTATAACATAACTTGTTAATTTTTATATACTGAAACATTTGCTGAAACATGCATAAAATATTCAGATTGACACATCAAATGAAGAGAAAAGTATAAAGGTAGTGGAACAAACAATAATTCTGTCCACTATGATATGTCTTATCAATGAGTACAATCAAACAAATTTGTTCAAGAAATAGATTGGTGAGCTACTTTAGGGTCATCTGGGCATAATTCATAGTATTTTTCGAATGTCATAAATTTTTTTTTTGTTATTTACTAGATGAATTGTAGAATAATTATGGTTTGCATGGATTGTCCTCATTACACTCAAGGAAGTACTAGTTTCTCCTTTATATATTTTGTCACATAATAAGTCAATTTATGTTGGTTCAGAGTTTGCTAAATATTATAGATTAAAACAATGATGATGAATGCATTCATAAAAATTGTCATTCATTGGCATTTTGACCTTAAGTGAAGGTGATCAAGATGACTATATTAATTGGAGCTCGAAATGTAATGGTCTAATTCTCCTCTCCCAACCAAATTTATTAAAACTTGTAGGGTTTAAAGCTTTTGCTACTTCTCCCAGCATTATTAGGACTAATCTAGAAATGTAGATTGAATTGGCAAAAATTGGTTCATTCTTGCTATCCATAGTTGTATTTCTTGCTCTTCTTGTAGGCATAACCAATTTAAACTCCAACTTCTCACTTGCTCTTCTTGTAGGCATAACCAATTTAAACTCCTTCAACTTCTCGGTTTAATTAACTCTTCAATTAATTTTCAAATGTATTAGTAGTCCTCCATGATGATTGAGACTTCCACAAAAGGCACAATATTTGGAGGAATTAAGAGCATGGACACTTGCCCTCATTGGAGTTAATCAACAAATGTGGTATGTGGCTTCAACAATTTCAATTATGGACACTCTCCATGAAGTGATAATTGAATTTTGGTTAGGCATAGATGATCTATCCTATCTTATTGCACATTACTGTATTCTTCGACATTAATGTGATTATTTTCGAATTTAAACACCTCAGCTGAAATCCTCAATTATTGCAAGCAAATGCATAACTGAGTGGCCCCCCCTTTAGATAATGAGTATAATTTGTGCCATAGTCATCTCTAAAACATTCTTTTCTAACATCTCTAGCTAAAATATAATAATAAAATTTCTCAACGACTGGTCCTACTTCCACATCTTAGCATGGTTTAAAAATTCTCTAGGGACCTCCGAACACCTGTAAACTCGGCGATAAACTCTCTCGAATTAAATGAATGAGCTAATGTTTTCAATTAAAAAGGCAGGAGAACGGTAAAAAATAATGCTTCGTGGTGAGATGGCTGACTTACAATTATAAAATTTAAAATTTTGCTAAAGGCTATGCTTAGCAAGAATGTATTCATTAACAGTGGATATGATTCTTAGACTTTTAAGGCAGAGAGATATCAATACCATTTCATGGGTGTATACCTCGTATGCTCTAGGAGTTGAAGACAATGCACGAAGAATTGGCTATAGTTTATGAATAAGAAATCAAGATCCATCAAGAACTTTCACCACTCAGAGTTGTTTATGAAACACAATACAAGATTCATTGGATCGTTTTCTTGAGTTTTTAATTCATCAAATTGAAGCCTTGATTTTTCATTTCAAATGAACTCTCTTCATCTTGGTGTTTTTTTTTTTTTTGGCTATTCTAATTATTGGTTTTTCTATCTCTGACATTCGTCTGGACCCAAATTTAACAATAGGCGACACTAAAATCTTACTCATAAAATGGGATCAAGTAGCAGGAGTGAAGAAAAGAGAGAATCTAGAAAAAAAAAGCTCTAAAATTTTACCGTTTTGTAAAACATGGCATAAAATAAATTTATCTAACCGATAACTAATTAATTATATGAGAATGTACACCAAGTTCTATGCATAAAACTAATCCTTATGATGTCACTGTCATGCTTCACTATGACTTATCAAGCTCTGGTAAGATATGCTGATTAGCTTGTGGCCAAGTACCTTAAGAAAGTTTGACAAGTAACTTTTAACATTTAGCAGCTTCTAATTGGCCCTATGATCCAGCACATATGTTTAGTTGGCTTCAGCAAGCTCATCTTGGCGAGTTATCATGTTGATCATTCTAGACTGACTGGCCCATATAGGATAGCAGGATCACTCCGGCTTAATCCAAGAGAATTAGGACATTCAACCACAGCAAAGCAGCAGGTTATGAGTTAAATTCTGCATGCCTAAGAAAGATCTTATTCGAAAATAACACATGCAAAGTCTACATTGCTAGCCATCTTTAGAAGCCTATGTGGAACTAAATATTGTCCCCTGCTCCCCTCCCCAATACATGCAAAACAAAAACTAAGACATGTTGCTTCCTTGTACTTTCTCGATTTTTTTTGAAAAAAATGAGGAGTTTGAGATTTGAGCTTTTGGTTAAATAAAGAATAAAGCTTGCTGCCAAACAAGATTTATGAAGAGCACATCTAGTAGGTTGGAGATTGGTTTTTGAGGATAAAGGCTGTGTAATAAACATTTTAACTAAATATTGATCACTTTGTGAACCAGTTCAGTAAATTTTGTGACAGTATAATAGGATCAAAGATTCTATGTAAAGCTGAAGTAAACATTCCAGGCATCGAAGCTCACTTCCCAGGCGGCAGTAGTAGTATAACTACAAATTAAAGAATACTGTGACCTGCATATAAAAAGCTAAACATTAAAAGGGCAGAAAGCAATGGTAATAAACTAAGAGGGAATTTACTTACATAGCATAGAATTCTTATGCATTTACATAGCTTACACCTAAACTTTTGCATTTACAGACATAGCACTCAAATCTTTAATATTACATAAAAAATACACTATTATGACATTTTAAAAGTTAAATACACCCTTTCATGAATTGATTTAAAGCACCAAAGGGCTATGTATGCAAATATGAAAGTATAGGTCTACATATGTAAATTTATGACAAAACTAAATGGATTTGCAACAGAATTGCATCAGTTGATTGATAAACCTTGGCAACGGATCATACTGATCTCCTGCCCCATCATTTCGATACCATTATCAGAGAGTAATGTGATCCCTGAGGAACACACCCTAAATGGAAATGCTAGTGGAGGAGAGATCGGAGATTTTGCCACCTTTATAAATTTCTGACCTGCAATAGAGTTTCCCAAAGATACAACTTCAAATAGTTGTTTGAGCTATAGTCATACTCCAAAAATTTTCTGGGCTGCCTTTCCAAGTTGAATAATGCCACAGTACTAGGATAAATACAAAAGAAATGATATTTTAAGAATGATAAATGTATTTTTTTGTGCAGCCAAATTCAGCAGACTACAATCACTGGCAATGTAAAAAATGTTTCATAGAAACAGATAAGCAAATCCCGTATGCCTCTAGGCATTCAACAGCGAGAGAAAGAACGGACTAATAAATGACAGCAGTTCGAAAATATTAAAATTTGTAAAAGAAAATGAACAGAACTTCAAGTTTTAAAAATGAACTCCATGAAAATTAACTGAGTTTTAAAATAATTTATTGCATTTCCACAGGTTTTTTAATGGAGTTCAATGAAAACAAATGCTTCTCAAACCAACTGTGGTCAACATTACCCAAAGCCCAAGTTGTGCAAGTGAAGAGTGGATAGACCACCACCATGTGCAGTTAGACTCGTTGGTATGTTGGAAAAACTTGACACTTCAAAAAAATTTATATGAAAAAAAAAGAAATTGTACATCGAAAATGTGCAACGTTGATCCTGAGGAGATATAACGGTCTAGAGGATAAGGGTACAACAAAGGGGGGCCCACTAACAAAAGATCATCGTGTCCACTTATCCGATCGAGTGCGGTCGTCTGAGCCAAAGCCAACAAGGCCAAAATCGATGGGGTCACAAAGGATGACCAAATTATCTGAATCTGAGCAATTAAGTCAGAAACGGGACAAAGAGATATTCATGCCAACTGACATGAAAAAGCCGAAACAAGTGAAGAGCTAATCCCTCAGCATCTTCAATCATACCGGGGAGCTACACAAGCTCTCCCATCTATTATCAATGATCGAAAATCAGACTAACTCAACCAATCGGCCCAATCCTGTCGTTCTAACACCAATCAATCTCAATCGACTGACAACGCCGACTAAGCATAGCCTACCAAATCAGTCCTGCCAAGCCAAAGCCAAATAAGCTCAACCAACTGAGTCAAAGAGCAGTCAAGCGATAGACACATAACTATTAAATCTTAGGAACAGCTTAACTTTCATTAAAGCAAGGTCAAAAATGTAATATTTATATATTGTACTCTCTCCTCCTATAAATAGAGAGAATATTTCATGTATTAAAAATAATTAATTTTAGCTAAAAATGTCAGGAAATGTCAACACGATTGTTCATTATTTTTTACTCATCCGTCTCTCGATTCAATGTAATACTTGGGAGGTGTAATTCACGGACAAATCAAGATTCAACATTCTAAAATGTGTAATGAGTGTGGATCATGCCACAGGCAAGAAGAGGAGCAACTCATGGAGAACAAAACCATAACGAAGACAGGCAACATAGAGTGCACCTTAGAGTTTGTGAATCGACAAATTCAGAAGTTGAAGAATCAAATGTTGGCAACCTTCCGAGACGCGCTTGCTCGGGGAAGAGAGCAGTACCCCTGAGAGTAAAGGTTGGCAACCAATAGCCGAAGAGCCCGCAAGTTCTGGAAAATTGCATTCCTCCATCGCCTTCACCAATGAGGATTTGCCCCCTAATGTAAACTCTTACAACAATGTCATCATTGTCATAGTGTTGATCAACAACCATCAGATTGGTAGCATCCTTATTGAAACTGATAGTTCAGCGAACATGTTAAAATCAATGTTCGATTAGATAAGTATCAGAAACGACTGGTTGACTGACAACAGGCCCACTCTATGGTTTTTTCGACAAAAAGAAAGATACGCTAGGAACCAATGCTCAGTTGATCACTTGAGAGAAATTGCTAAATAATTTACTAATATGGAGGACTTCCTGGAGGATGACTCGCCACCCACTTATAATGTCATTTTTGGTCGCCCCTTGATCAATTACTTCAAGGTCGCTACCACAACTTATCATGGGGCAGATAAGTTTTCGGGCGACGGAGAAGTGATCACTATTCAAGGCAATCACAAGTGGTCTTGCACTTGCTACCCCCCCGGCAGTCGCAAGTGCCAAGTAGGAGTCGTTCGAGCTCAACAACCAACGCAAATAAGGTCACAAGACTAGTGAGATCACCCATCAAATCTCGACGACAGAAGGCGAGCTCGCTAACTTTTGTTCTAATAAGTGAAGCATTTGATGTAGGATCAAAAGATATGTTAATCAATACCCTCCGAGACCACCAAGATGTCGGGGAAACCGATCAATGTCACCTACCACCCAGCAGCCCGACCGATGAAGTTGAGAATGAGGTCCTTTGGCATCACTCTGTCTGAACTGATACGAGAGGAGGACCAAAAGCTACTAGAGGTAGGCTACGTATGAGTGGTCAAGTATCTGACATGGGTGTCTAATGTGGTCATGATGCAGACGTTAAATGACAAGTGGAAGATATGTGTAGACTTCACCAATTGGAACACCGCCTGCTCGAAGAATTGCTAGCCCTTACCTCGGATTGATGCGCCTGTGGATGCAATAGTCGATCATTCTGTGATGTGCTTCCTTGTGTCTTCTTCTACCACCAAATTAAGATGCACTGGCCGACACAAAGAAAAATGCATTCATCACTAGCAAGAGTGTGTGTTGTTATAATATAAAGGGCTAAAAAATGTTGCGCTACATACCAACAAATGATAAATGTAATATTTTCAAAGAAAATAAAATAATATTGAAGTGTATGTGGATGATATGCTGAAAAAAAGAAAAATGTTCAACAACATATAAAAGATCTAAAACAAATGTTTGAACACTTAAAAAATTCAATATGATGCTCAACCCACTCCAATGCACCCTAGAAGAGTTCGCAAACAAATTTTTAGGCTATCTCCTAACCCCGGAGAGGAGAAAATCCAATTCATAAAAGATACAGGTGTCGATCGACATGTCATTCCCCTGAAATACCATGGAAGTACAAGATTTGACCAAAGAGATTGTAGGCCTAAATCGATTCATCTGAAATCGAGCAACAAGTGCGCTGCCTTTTTCAAAATTTTAAGGCGAGCAAAAAACTTTGTTTGGTCGGGTGAAAGTGAACAAACGTTCAGAAAGCTGAAAAATTTCTTAGCATTGCCACCACTTCTCCAGAGCCCAAAGCCAAACGAGGAGCTCTCCCCATACTTGGAGAACAAACCTAAAGCCATCAGATTGACTTTAGTCAGAGAGGAGTTGGAGAAGTAGTTCGCGATTTATTATGTCAACCATCCTCTGAAGCGATGAGCTCAGATATTTGATTATTGAAAAAAGTTAAAATTGCTCTTCCACAGGTTTCACAAATATTTTCAAACGCATTCGATCAAAAACATCACCGCCATCCGCTCAAATCAGCCCTCACTTGGCCCACTTTGGTCGGCTCCTCAAATGGGCGGTGGAATTCAGCAAGTTTGATATGTCTTACATAGGAGTGTAAACAAGCTGAGCATGAGCGAGCCCAAGAATTGTTCGTGCTCGGTTAGTTAGAAAATTTCAAAAATTATTTTTTAAAAACATTTTGAAAGGAATGAAAAAAAAAAACATCTTTGTATAGTAGATTTTACAAATCCATAAAGATGAAAACTTATGATTTCTTCAATTTTGTTTTTACATTTATAGTGGATATCTAATGAAATTTTTCTCAATGTCCCGATGTGGGCCAAAACTAAGAGCACAGGGCAGATAAGAATCTCTAACTTCACGAGCTTGAAATTTTTCTCACCACGAGATTACAAACATGCCACCAAATTCTTGAGTAATTACATATGTACAACAATGGGTCACTCACTGCCAGCAGGAAAAAAAGCCGATGGGCATGAGCGAAACTTTTGGTAAAAAATTTTGATCTATTTACATAGAAACCACCCACTTCTTACGTATTTATATATCTAACGTCCTTTTTTTTTTAATCTGAGGGGCATTTACATGCATATCACTCAATTCTTATATAATTACATTTCTTAATTCTAAATTTTCCTTTTTATATTTATGTAAATCAAATCTTTGATACCATAAAAAAGATATCATTAATTTAAATTTTATGTATTATTTATTTAACTACTTCGAGCCAAAATGAGTCGAACATGATTGGACAAAGTTTTGTTTGTATTTGACTCATTTATAAATCGAGCTATAAAAAAATTGTTCGTGTTTGGCTCGTTGGCTTAATGAATGAATTAAGCACGAGCTACTTGACAAACCAAACACGAGTTGTTCAAGAACAACGAGTTTTTTTAAAGCCCCATTCTTACATTTCTTGAACCACAAATAAAGCACAAGCCATAGTTGATTTACTCGACGATTTTTTTGAATCAAGTGAGCCACGTGAAGGTATAGCGGACGATAGCCAAACTTGGGACTTGCACATCAACAGAGCATCTAGCCAAACCGGAGCAGGCTCAGTCTCACACTTGCTAGTCCGACCGAGGGCCATATGTACCACTCAATGGAAGTCGGATTCGAAGTCACCAACAATCAAGCTGAATACAAAGCTTTAATTGTTAGGCGGCGATTCACTTATGTGATGAGCGTTTGGTACCTCCCAGTAAAATTTAATGCATAGCTAGTGGTGAATCAAATAAACAGGCGATTTGAGATCAAAGACGAGATAGTGGTTAAATACCTCAGCAAAGCTAAAACAGAGATAGGGAAATTCGAAAGCGTCAAGATCAAGCATATCGCCCGAGAAGACAACCAAGTAGCAGACTATATATCCAAGTGCATCCATTTGTGGGAGATGATGTCTAAAAAGCTTGTTCGACCGACCATTGAAGAAGCCAAAGCTATAGAGTTGACAATCGAAGGGCCAAATAGTTTGGTGGATCCATACATCGTATACCTTGAGATCTTGAGATCGGAAAGATCTTAATAGTTAACGACCAAAAGCGCTTCGAAATTAAAGCAACACAATATGTTTTGATCAAGGGAAGTTTTTCCAAAGATAAGTCATGTTGTTGTACTTAAGATATATAGAAAAAAATGAGACAGAAGATGTCCTCCGAAAGGTACAATAAGCGGAGGGCGAGAGCCACTCCGAAGAAAAACTTTAGCATGTCGAGTTTAACGATAGTTTTATTTTTGGTCGATGCTTCTAAAAGATGTCGAGCAATTCTCAAGGAAATGTGAGCAATGTCAGAAATATGCGCCGCTACAATATCAACTAGCACAAACAACAACTCTTCGTCAGCCCATAGCCTTTTGTCGTCTGGGGACTTGACATCCTAAGACCATTACCCCCATCGCGAGGCCAACGCAAAATCCTTCTTTTTGCTGTGGATTGTTTTTACATCCTAAGACCATTACCCCCATCGCGAGGCCAACACAAAATCCTTCTTTTTGCTGTGGATTGTTTTTTTTTCAATTGGATCAGAGTGAAGGCGCTTGCTCGAATCATCGCAGTGGTTGTTCAGAACTTCATATGAATGGATCTGATCTATCATTATGGGCTACCACTGGTAATCTCACAGAAAACGAAACACAAGCTGCCAACAAGGGGGTGAAAGATTTTTGCCAAAGCCAGGGGATCAGCCTAAAATTTTCATCCATGTGTCACCCTCAAACAAATGGGCAAGTCAAAGCAGCTAGCAAGATTATCTTAAATTTGCTGGGAAAAATGTTAAAAGAGCAAAGGGGAATTACGAAAAGGCCTTCTTATTCTTAGAGCCGTACGAATGACTCCTATGACGACCGAACAAACACCATTTATGTTCTTACATGAGATGGATACAAATTTACTGCTCATTCATGTTTACTCTTCTCTATCTCCTTCCGTATGCTCTACTTCTTGGGATGTGATTCATGAAAAAATCAAAATTCAATGAAAACTATATCAGGTATACTATTTTATAAGAAATTGATGTATTTAAGCAAATTTCATGCAAAGCAGATTTCCATTAAATTCAAATGCGCAAAAGCAAAGAAGCAAGTTGCAGTAGAACTTAATTCCACTTTTGGATGATAATATAAGCAGCCAAAGGCCAAATAGTACGATAAAAAATTTCTGATAAAATTGTTGAAGTGGGATAAGCAAATACAAACTGCTAATTCGCAGAAGCAGATTTATTTCAAGTGAAACTGGGTAAAAAGAAAAGAATCATGCATGCATAACACGCAGTAGAGCTTAGTTCAATTTTTGGATCAAAATATAGGCAGCCAATAGCAAAGATAGAAATTCTATAGAAGTTGTAGTTGAAATTATGAAATTAAAGCCATGGAATATTCAACCAACAAACAAACCGCCCGTACAATAATAAAATAAACAGCATCCCAAAACTAACTAAATAATGTGTACTCAATTTCACCTATTTCTAGCTCCAATAAAGTTGTGACCATTACAACTGAGAACAAAGTATTAGCAAACCTGAATGAGCCTCAAAAATAAGACGTATGGTTACAGCATGGGCCCATTGAATCCCCAAGGCTGCAACATGGTGAGTTTCAAACTTCTCAGAATCACGATTAGCATCTTTCTCTGCTAAGAGTTTTACATGAAGATTAGATTAATTTGACAAATCAGATAAGAGTAACAAAGTAGTCCCAAAGAAGGATCATAACACACCTAAAAATGAATATCGAGAGATTTCATCATTGTTGTGACCTCGCACTTGGTTTGTTACCACAATAGGTATGCGAGAAAACTCAGCAATGGACCTAAATAGTACTCAACAATCATGTAAATGTGAGTGAAAAACGTGAGCCTTTAGAAGCCTCAAATTAAAGTAATCATTAAAACCATACAAGAAATAATCAACGGGAGTTTCTCACTTCAAAAACGAAAAAGAACATTTGGGCTGCTGTTTCCCAGATATAGTGCCACATCTTTCATTTTCCCTGAAATACGAGCAAAAGGAAGAACCAAGCATGAAGCTGTAATAGTTTGATCATAAATATCTAAAGACGCGAATTTACATTAAAATACATGATGTTAACGGCATTTTGAATGTATTAGAGCAACGTATCACCAGCAGGATACTTTGGAGAGTTAAGGATAGAGGACTAAGGAAAGACAGAGAAATGAGACCAAAAGAACGGTAGAATTAAATTATTCTTTGCATTTGCTTAGTAGATGGTGTCGCACTTGGCGCAGTTAGGCACTTGGTGCTTTCATCTACTCACAACTCTTCGAAGGCAACTCGGGCTAAGAATTTAGCTCAAAGTCCATTGATTTGAATTTTGGCCTAGATTGAGATCAGATTGAAGCAAGTGAGCCAAGCAATGAATTGGAAGCATGGATCTTCTTTTTTTCAAGTCAATTTTGAGTCATACACGGATAGCTTGAACTAACTTTAGATTGATTAATTTTTTAATAAAAAATGATTTTTTATAAATAAATATTTAATAAAACACATACGTGGCAGCAGGACTTTTGAGCTTTTTTGCAAATTATTTGCACCCATTAATTTTGAGTTAGCATAATTGAAACTAGCCAACTCACTATGATTTTTGAGATAGAATAAGATCCAAACAGATCCATTCCAGCCATCTCGTTTTGATTTTGAGCTGGGTCAAGCTCGAATCAACTTTGAACTGAGCTGACTTGAAATTAAATACAAGCTGCAAGATGATTTTGAGCCATATTCAAACACTTAGATCCAATCCCAACTCAGTAGTAATCGGAATATTCACAGCCTAAAACCAACTAGAGTTCTTAGGCTGCCAAGCGTCCTCGTTACATTGTTACAAAATGGTACTCAAAGAAGCACTAAGCAGTATAGGACATGAGGAGGCTTCTATTCAAAAGAAACCTGAATGATCTTCCTCATAATCGTTTCCACTACTCCACCTTTTTGTTTCCTTTCCCATTAGAAGAGCCATTGGGTGGTGTCACGTAGAAACAGCCCTAGGCAAAGGCAGAGTGGTCGATAAGATGGAGTGGTAGTTCACGAACCACTATAACAATGGCAGACAAAATAGAAGTGCTTATTAAGCTGTTTGTTGTGCGACTTTCAGTTGGAGTGGCTACGTCTTAGCTACTGTAAATTTGGGAAATATTCAAGAGGCTGAATTTGCGGGAACTACCAACAGGTCAACAGTGAAGGTACTCATTTGCTATCCATTAAAGGAGGTTGGTTCTTTCTTGAAAAAATGAATCATCAGCTCTTCAGACAACACTACTCCTAGGATGAACTATCCCTGCCTCTCCAAGTGACATTGGATTGGGTAATTCAAAAAACTAGCATCCACCAGTATAATATTTCCTCAGCTCTCATACCTTGTTGGCATGATTAAGAGAATTGGCTTGAAATTGTTGGGTAATGTGGAGACCCGGTCCACCGAATTTAATTAGCTTCTTAATTAAGTATCATACCTACCGCTCACCTACCACACCCACCTAACGCTGACCTACCACATCTCACCTTCATACCTACCGCTCACCTACCACACCCACCTACCGCTGACCTAGCACATCTCACCTAACGCGCACCTACCTCTCACCTACCGCTCTCATGGTTTCTATAAATAGTCTGTTTTGGTTTCAAGGAGATGCAAGCCAACCAAAGTCAAGCAAGGCCAAGCCAAGTCATCTTGAGAGCAAGGAGAAAGAGAGGAAGAGAGAGAGGAAGGGAGAGAAGAAAATAAATATTTTCTTGTAACGTCGAAGCGCTCGACGGTGTAATTCTTCGAAATTTCTTGTAAACGTCGAAGCGCTCGACGGGGTAATTCTTCGAAAAAAATAAAATCCTCTGTCCGTGGACGTAGGCAAATTTGCCGAACCACGTAAATATGTGTGTCGCTCTGGTGTTTTTCTGCGTGCAATTTTTCTCGTTCTATTTTTCACTTTATTGTAGTCGTTTTTCACAACAACTGGTATTAAAGCTTTGGTTCGAAGTGATGACATCGGAGATCGAGAAGTTCAATGACAGATTTTGCTTACTGAAAGATGCAGATAGAAGACTACAGAAGACTACCTCTATGGGAAGAAACTTCATCTTCCATTACTGGGAAAGCGACCAGAAAAGATGGACGAGACGGAATGGAATCTGTTAGATCGACAGGTTCTGGGGGCTATAGGGTTATACGATTAACCCTGTCGAGATCGGTTACCCACAACGTCATCAAGGAGATGACTACTGCAGATATCATGGCGACTTTATCAGGTATGTATGAAAAGCCATCGACGAATAACAAGAAACATTTGATGAAAAAGTTATTCAAATTGAAGATGGTGTAAGGTGTGTCTGCTGCTCAACACCTGAATGATTTCAATACTATCACAAATCAATTGTCATCTGTTGAAATTAATTTTGATGATGAGATACGTGCGCGATATTTAATTGATTTTTATGATGAGATACGTGCACTGATATTTTTGGCATCATTGTCAAATAGCTGGGAAACCATGAGGATGGCAGTTAGCAGTTCTGCGCTGGGAAGCCATGAGGATGGCAGTTAGCAGTTCTGCGAATAAATCTAAGCTGAAATATGATGATATTCGTGATCTGATTTTAGTTGAGGAGGTGCAGAGGAAAGATTCTAACGAGACCTTGGGTTCGATTTCGGCACTGATTGTTGATTCCAGAGAGAGATCACAAAATAAAAACTCAAACCGTGGAAGATCAAAATCAAAGTCAGGTCAGCAGGCAACCTGCTGGAATTGTGGCAAAACTGGCCACATAAAAAGGAACTGCAGGAATCCTAAAAAGAAGGAGAATGATGACGCTAATGTTGTAACTGAAAAAATATAGGATGTAAGAAGGAGAATGATGGCGCTAATGTTGTAACTGAAAAAATATAGGATGCACTATTTCTGACAGTTTATAGTTTTGTTGATGACTGGATACTGGATTCAGGGGCCATCTTTCCGTCGGGAGCTAATGCGAAATTATGTTGCAGGTAACTTTGGGAAGGTATATTTGACTGATGGAAAAGCTCTGAACGTGGTGAGAATGGGAGGTATTGATATTGCACTCTCTAACAAGAGCAAATGGACTTTGCAAAAGGTTAGACACGTTTCTGAGTTGAAGAAAAATCTCATCTCTGTTGGGCAGCTCAATGAGGGTGGTCATTCGGTAGTGTTCTCAGATAACACCTGGAGGGTTACCAAAGGAGCATTAGTACTGACTCGGGGTAAGAAAACTGACACGCTATATATAACCACAACACCTGGAAGGTTACCAAAGGAGCATTAGTACTGCCTCGGGGTAAGAAAACTGACACGCTATATATAACTACAAATTTACTCAGGCGATGACACATGAGTCAGAGGTGCATTATGGAGAAGGAGAAGAAAGTCAATTTCTTGAAAAGTGGTAGAGCGCCAAAGCAGAAAAATTGGACCTTGTACAGACAAATGATGGAGAACCACAGAGTTATGAAGAAATCTTGCAAAATGAGAATTCGAGCAAGTGGGAACTGACCAAGAAGGAGGAGACGGATTCACTACCAGGGAATCAGACTTGGGAGCTGGCAGAACTTCTATCAAGGAAGAAGACATTACACAACAAATTGGTGTACCGGGTGAAGACTGCGTTTGGAATTGAAAAACTAATAAGAGTTGATCTTTTCAAAAAAAAAAAGTACTCAGTAGTTTCAGAAAATTTTATAGGAGCAATAAAATATCAGTTCTATCATCAAAAGTAATTAAATTGAAAAACTAATAAGAGTTGATCTTTTCAAAAAAAAAAAGTACTCAGTAGTTTCAGAAAATTTTATAGGAGCAATAAAATATCAGTTCTATCATCAAAAGTAATTAAATTGAAAAACTAATAAGAGTTGATCTTTTCAAAAAAAAAAAGTACTCAGTAGTTTCAGAAAATTTTATAGGAGCAATAAAATATCAGTTCTATCATCAAAAGTAATTAAATTGAAAAACTAATAAGAGTTGATCTTTTCAAAAAAAAAAAGTACTCAGTAGTTTCAGAAAATTTTATAGGAGCAATAAAATATCAGTTCTATCATCAAAAGTAATTAAATTGAAAAACTAATAAGAGTTGATCTTTTCAAAAAAAAAAAGTACTCAGTAGTTTCAGAAAATTTTATAGGAGCAATAAAATATCAGTTCTATCATCAAAAGTAATTAAATTGAAAAACTAATAAGAGTTGATCTTTTCAAAAAAAAAAAGTACTCAGTAGTTTCAGAAAATTTTATAGGAGCAATAAAATATCAGTTCTATCATCAAAAGTAATTAAATTGAAAAACTAATAAGAGTTGATCTTTTCAAAAAAAAAAAGTACTCAGTAGTTTCAGAAAATTTTATAGGAGCAATAAAATATCAGTTCTATCATCAAAAGTAATTAAATTGAAAAACTAATAAGAGTTGATCTTTTCAAAAAAAAAAAGTACTCAGTAGTTTCAGAAAATTTTATAGGAGCAATAAAATATCAGTTCTATCATCAAAAGTAATTAAATTGAAAAACTAATAAGAGTTGATCTTTTCAAAAAAAAAAAGTACTCAGTAGTTTCAGAAAATTTTATAGGAGCAATAAAATATCAGTTCTATCATCAAAAGTAATTAAATTGAAAAACTAATAAGAGTTGATCTTTTCAAAAAAAAAAAGTACTCAGTAGTTTCAGAAAATTTTATAGGAGCAATAAAATATCAGTTCTATCATCAAAAGTAATTAAATTGAAAAACTAATAAGAGTTGATCTTTTCAAAAAAAAAAAGTACTCAGTAGTTTCAGAAAATTTTATAGGAGCAATAAAATATCAGTTCTATCATCAAAAGTAATTAAATTGAAAAACTAATAAGAGTTGATCTTTTCAAAAAAAAAAAGTACTCAGTAGTTTCAGAAAATTTTATAGGAGCAATAAAATATCAGTTCTATCATCAAAAGTAATTAAATTGAAAAACTAATAAGAGTTGATCTTTTCAAAAAAAAAAAGTACTCAGTAGTTTCAGAAAATTTTATAGGAGCAATAAAATATCAGTTCTATCATCAAAAGTAATTAAATTGAAAAACTAATAAGAGTTGATCTTTTCAAAAAAAAAAAGTACTCAGTAGTTTCAGAAAATTTTATAGGAGCAATAAAATATCAGTTCTATCATCAAAAGTAATTAAATTGAAAAACTAATAAGAGTTGATCTTTTCAAAAAAAAAAAGTACTCAGTAGTTTCAGAAAATTTTATAGGAGCAATAAAATATCAGTTCTATCATCAAAAGTAATTAAATTGAAAAACTAATAAGAGTTGATCTTTTCAAAAAAAAAAAAAGTACTCAGTAGTTTCAGAAAATTTTATAGGAGCAATAAAATGTCAGTTCTATCATCAAAAGTAATTAAATAGAAAAATTAATAAGAGTTGATCTATCTATAGCTGCAGGTGATGCTGTTCTTTCGTAGTGAAGCCATAAAACAAATGATATAGATTTTTTATAACAAGAAGCCTCCACGCTAAATTTTGTTATGCAATGATGACCATAATCATGGACAAAAACAACCAAACATAAAAAGGAATTGCCCCCACCCTGAAATAAGTGCAGCCATGCTATCAATGACAAGTAGCTTCACCTCATGCTGAAGAAGTTTCAATTTCATCTGTTGCAGGCTGCACTAAAAATGAGTGTTACATTAAAAATAGGTTTAAATTTATATAAAGTAAATCTTCCAAACAAAGAGCCAGCAAACATCTTATATCTAGCTAAAACAGAAACATCTTATGTTTTCCACTTCACATTTGTTGGGAAAAAGTGCACACCCAAGAGCAATGCTGCTTAGTAGAAAAAAACTATACTTTGCAAGGTAAACATCAGAGAAAATAGCAAAAGATTTTATGCAGTCCAGCAAAACCCACCTGCGTACAACAACACATAAAAATTCGCAAACTAATATAAAAACATAAAATACAAATATCTGCCTAGCAAAATATTTTAATCTTTTGTTTCACTTGCACACTTTCTTTTCTCTCATTCTCTCTAACCCTAAGTATAAATAGTCCACCTATCATGACTTGACCCGGGATTAGAATTAATCAAGACGGGAACGAACAGTCGAATGCTGAAATTAATTTTTCTATTATTCATTTTCTTATCATTAACAGTTTATAATCCAAACAAAATTAAAGAGCACTAAATAAAGAAATTAAAAATACAAATAAATTTTTACCTTAGTTCAGGTTGTTCGAGTTTTCTATAGACATTGTCTCCTCTATTGTTCATCTTTTTAATCCATTAATTAAACCTTAATATTATTTTAAAACAATAATGAGATAACCAAAGCAAGTGAACACTCATACTCTTAGACTATAATCATAAAATGAAAAAGAAGACAATATACATGTCAATTAAAATTTATGTAAATCAATTTAAGAGCATTTGCAATTTAATACTATCTAATATGATAATTTGAAGTGATTCTAAATATTAATTGTGTTTTATCGTATACATATCATTATTTTTTAATCTATATACAATCGTCATAGGAGCACTGTCTAAAACTTGTACAATAAAAAATGCATCAATATCAATATCAATTATCATTTACATGCACGGATACCTTAGTGTTCCTCCACTAGTATCACATTAGGAAGAACTTCATCATAATCTATCATGCATATACAGGCATATATATAACTAATATCATTTACATGCTTATATTATGTCATACAATATAATATATATATTTTTAAATAACATTTAATAATTTTCACTATAAAGAAACCTAACATTCAAATATGACCAATAAAAAGATGAGCATATAAAACAAGATAAACTAATACATAAATTAATAGGCATCAATAACTATCAATGCAAATGATTGAGAAGAAACAAAAAAAACAATCATAAATCTAAGAGTAAGAGTACTCATTTCAATCACTGATGATTCTCTTGTCAATAGTTCTCTTCACTTATCTCCAAAGAAAATCTACAATCAGATGCATAAGAAATTATTAATAATTTATTATATGTTAATCTTATTATCAAAAGACAAATTGTCTTTATTTTACCTATAAGGCATCATATTATAATTATTATTTTATTACTATTATGTTAATTGTTATCTTCAATTCATAATATAAATTTAACTATTATTTCAAACAATTTAAACATAATAAATCTTGATAATAAAATGTTGGTCCTAATTAACTTTCTAGTTATTTTATGTAATTTGTATCTTTTTTAATTAGACTTTAAGATTTATATAAATATACAAACATATTATGTAATTATTATTATTATTATTATTATTATTATTCACATTAAATTCATTAAATTTAATATTAACTCATAGAATTAAATTTGTTTTTATTTTATTATTTTCAGATTTTTTTATTTGCACAAAATTTGTATTAACATTTTTTTATATAAATTAAATTTATTAAATAAATAATTTAAATAAATCAAACCCTAACCTTTATTAGCTGACGCAAACCTTTTCTCGATGCAAAACTTCTATAGCTTGAATCTTGATTTAATTAAACTTTACCATTAATTATAAATAATTAAACATATACATTAAATTTATAAATTAGAATTTATAAAACCCTTACCAATGTTTAGTTTTAACCCACGCAGAGCCTCACCTTCTTCTCCAATGCTTCAACCCCTTCAGCTTCAACAAGCCCGTCAGAAGCCACTACAAATGCTTCAACCCCTTCAGCTTCAACAAGCCCGTCAAAAGCCACTACACTCAGAATTTTTATTCGGTACATGCACCGCATGAACTCCTACATGCGGTACCGAATAAAAATTCGCCATGTGGAATTTGATTCCACGTGGTTTTCACCTTAAAATGTCATTTTTTTACGCCCGACCTGACCCGATATTTCTTTTTCCCGAAAATTTAATGCATAAGGCCCTTTCCCGGTTATCCCCCACTTTAGTTTCGCACTTTAGGGTTTGGAGCTACCGAAAAGGACTGCTCTGCCGACGAGGAGAATGACAACCACTTCCAGATCTGTGCGAGTTTAGCTTCTTGTACCGGATCTGTACAAATCATCTTTGTTTCTCCATTATGTAGTTTGTTGATCTGTGCAAGTTTTTGCAATCCAGATCTGAGGTATATCGTAGGTTTAATAAGTTTTATTTTTTAATTTTATGGATACTTCTGGCATTTGTCTGGGTTTATCGGATGTTAGTTTATTATCTGAGGTATAGGTCTGACATATTATTGATTGTGTTTAACAATTTATTTCTGTGGGTTTATCGAAGTTTACTTTAGCGGTTTTTATTTTATTCGAATTTGATTTTGTGCTTCTGTTTAACAATCCAGATCTTGACAGTATTCTCGTGTAATTTTTGTTAATAAGGAATGTTGGTGTTATTGTGGGGTTATTGTGATATTATTATGATTTTATTGTTGTGTTGTTGTACTGTTGAAAAGACGTTTTTGCTGCGGTTTTATGATTTTATTGTTGTGTTATTATGGTGTTATTGTCTTTGCGGTATTATCTTTGCAGTATTCCCGTGTTATTTTTTTAACGAGGGATGTTGGTGTTATTGTGGGGTTATTGTGGTATTGTTATAGTTTTATTGTTGTGTTATCGTACTATTGAAGAGAGTTTTATTGCTGCAGCTATATGATTTTATTATCGTGTGATTATGGTGTTATTGTCCTTCCTATTGGTGTTATTGTGGGGTAATGGTTTATAGTGTTAACTAGGTATTATCTTTGTAGTATTCTCGTGTTATTTTTATTAACGATGGATGTTGGTATTATTGTTGGTTATTGTGGTGTTTTTATGGTTTTTTTATTGTGATTTTTTACCGTTTAAGAGTGCTGCGGATTTATGGGTTTATTATCGTGTGATTATGGTGTTATTGTCTTTGCTGTTTTAGTGGACTCACTTATCTTACTATTGGCTTATTTGTTTTTCTATAACTTAAATCATTCAATGCAGTAAAGGAGGAAGATGGGCGAACAAGTCAAGTACTGTTCGTTGAGATGGAGTTATGTTGATGGAGAGTTTATTTCTCGGAGGCAATGAGATGGAGTTATTTTGTGATTCATATAATCTTGATCGATAAGCAGTAGAAAAATCATTTACATCAATGATCAAAGGTTGATTGAGAGGAAGTTTTAGGCGGTTTGCACATCTAAAGTTGATTGAGTTATATAATCTGATGTCAACGCTGAAGATGTGATTTGTATCAAGTAAGTCGTAATGGGTTTGCTAAATTGTGGAAACAAAAGAAAATGTAATTGTAAGTTTTGATGTTTTGAACTTCTCAAGTCTGATGTGAATGGTGTTCCGTCAGGTGAACCAGTTGGAACACCAGTTACATGAGACTTAAGAAGTGCAGAACAACATTGCAATAACATTTTATTCTGTTTCCACATTTTAACTAACCCATTACGACTTACTTGATACAAATCACATCATCACCATTTTCATAAGATTATATAACTCGGTCAATTTTAGATGTGTGAACAGCCTGAAACTTCCTCTCAATCAACCTTTGACCATAGATTAAAATGATTTTTCGACTGCTTATCAATCAAGAATAAAAACTGAATCTACATGCCAACGGTCTGGCCTCCCCTTTGCCGCATACTATGTATTAAACTGTGATTATTGTAATATGTATCGTTATGCTTATTCGACTTGTTGTAATATTGTGGTATTATTAGTGATTTATTCGAGTATTATTTATCTATTATTCTTTATGTAGTACATTGTTTTATTGCGGAGTGATTGACGTATTATTAACTTATGTGTTTATTAACATCGAGGTGATGTATTATTATGGTTGTATTGTGGTATTATTCGAGTCTTATTGTGGTGGTATTAATGTGATTACTTTCGACGTAAATTTTTTTGTGCCCTGCGGTGTTACCGTGGTTTTATTGTTGTTTTGTTATGTTTTAATTTTGTGGAGTATCAGTATGTTTGTA